CTACCTAGCTGCCCCTACCTTTACATTGCCTCTCATGATTCCTTTTGTGTGAACTTTCTGTTTTGGACAAACCAGTTTTTCTCAGTTTCTCCCAAATAAAGCTTGTACCTTCCTACATCCACACCTTTGCTTAACTGTGAGCCCAGTCTAGGAGTCATCCCCTTGTCCTCTTGCCCATCTTTTAAGGAAATCCAAGTCCCACCTCTTCCACAGAACCTTTCCTAACTACCTTAGTGGGGGCTGTAACGTAGTAAAAAGAAATTTGGAGTCAAAAAACCTTAGGCAAAGTACTCGGCCTCTTTGGTCTTAATTTCCATATCTACAAAATAAAGGGTTAAACTGGATGACCTCCAAGATCCCTTCTGGCACTTAGTCCTGTGGTCTTCTGACATAGGTTCACATGACCTCGGGCAAGTTATATCACCTCTCGGAGCCTCTGACATCTATAACATGGAAAGAATAATGTTGGTGCTACCTACCTCCCAGAGTCATTATGAAGGTTAAAAGTTACAGAATAAGTAATGTGCTTTGTAAACCTTAAGGCACTATATGAATGGCAGCTCTTTGTGGGACTGCACATTTAACATCTGTGAGAGATCTTAGAGATCATCTAGTCCCAGAGTTCTTAATTTCATATGTATGGCATGGACCACTCTTTGAAAGTCTGATGAAGCTTATGGACCCCTTCTCAGAATGTTTTTAAATGTGTAAAATAAAATATATAGGATCACAAAGAAAACTAATTATATTGAAAAACAGTTATCAAACTATAAAAAAAGTTCATGGACGCCAAGTTAAGAAGCCCTAATTTAGCCCAGCCCCTTCTTTTGTAAATGAGAGAAATGTGAATTGTCCAAGATCAGATAGATATGGCAGCACAGCTGGGATTATGACTCAGATCTCCTGACTCCCAGTTCCACATCTTTTTACTCACAATTGCTGCCTCTGTAACAAATGTTAGCATATCCTGTACTTGTTTGGTGTCAATGGAAGGGATTTGTTATAGTGGATACAGGATATGTGAAGAATTCTCTTTGGTAAATTATTGCTCCTGCTGTGGGTTTGACACTTCTATTTTCTACCTGTCAGAAAAAGTGACTTTATACCAGTGGTCAGTTAGACTTTCCTTTTTATACTCCATTAACCCAAAGAGCAGGGTAGGCAGAACTCACATCAGCTGGCTGGCAGTCAGTACAGGAAACATTGATATGATAATTAAATAAAATACAGAATCATCACTAATGATGTTAAAAATTTGTGGTCAAAATTACTGTGATGCCTTTGAGAAGACTAGAACAAGAAAAATATGGAGTCAGCAATTTAAGCAACAAAGTCTCAAAGTCTGAATTGTCAATGAATCCTGCCACATTTTGTCTGAAACCTGGTAAGAGGATGCTGACATGTTTTGAAGGCTCTCCCTGGGAGGTAGTCAGTATTGTATGAACTGATGTCCTAGCAAACATTGCTTGGGAGAGAATAGATTAAGCTATGTAATTTGAGTGCACCCATACACAGTTGCCCTAAAATAACAATAATTCAGTATTTCTCTGGATCAGTGAGCTCCCTGTCTTTGGTACTCCTCCACCACTGTAAATCCAAACCCTTCAGATCTTATCTAGTGCTATTCATGTCCATGTCTTTCACTGGATCCTCCGTGTAAAATCTCTTCCACATACTGAAGGCCATCCTCTGATTCTTTTTAATGTTATGTGAGAGCAGTGTACCAAAACTGTAGAATACCAAAACCTAAGGAAATCGGCCATTTTGGGGTAGGCTCCCCAAGGCTGCTGTGGATATAATAATATAGAAATCATTATTTAATCCTAAAAGAAAGCAAAGTGTAAACAAAGTGCCATGAGATATACGGGGGGGGGAAAGGTCATTTCTGAGTAGGAGAATCAAAGTGGGTTTCTTTGGGGAGGTAGCATTATAGCTTGCCCTTGAAGAATGGGTATGATTTCAACTGAGAGAAATGAATGGGTGTGACAGGGCAAGATATTCCAGGTATAGGGAATGACTTGAGCTAATGCACAATGGTACAGTTATTCAGTTTGTCTACAATGTATTTGTGTACATGAAGAAGGACCCATAGTATGAAATAGATTGGAAAAGGTTGAATGTCAAACTGAGTTTTTTAGACTTTATTCAGTAGGCAGTAGGGAGCCACTGAAGGTTTTTGAGCAGAAGAGTTTCTGTGCAGATCACACCTGTGCTTTAGGAAGTTAGTCAGTCAACAAGCATTTGTTAAGTGCTTACTATGTTCGAGGCTCTTGCTAAGTGGGATACAAAGAAAGGCAAAAATAGTACCTACCCTCAAGAAGCTCACATTCTAGTAGGAAAGACAACATGCAAACAACTATGTACATACTAGATATCTATTGGGTAAATGGGAGGTAATTTTAGAGGGAAGGTAGCATAGTAGAGTGGGCATCGAGGCGAGGGAAGGTGGGAGACCAAGAAAGGTCTCTTACAGAAGGTGAGATAGGAGCCAAATCTGGAAGGAAGTCAAGGAAGCCAGGAGGCAGAGATGAAGAGGGTGAGCATGGTAACGATGGAGGACAACCAATGAAGAGACACGGAGTCAGGAATAGCAGTGCTGTGAAGGAAAGGGGAAGGACTCGAGGTGCTAAAACCAGTTAGGAGAATATTTTAATAGTCCAAGTGAGCCATGATAGGGTCTAAGGCTAATAATAATAAAAGAATTTGTTCTGTGAAGTTTGGATTCAGTCAAAAGGCCACCCTTGAGGACCCAGAGGACCACATATGGCCTCGAGACCAGAGGTGTCTCACCCCGGGACTGACGCGGGGTAACTGAATGGGGGAAAAAACAAAGGGTGAATTAACAGAACTCACTAATTAATTAAACATGATGAGTAGAGAAAGAGGAGAACTAAAGATGAGTCTGAGGGATATAGCCTGGTTGGCTGGAAGAATGGTAGTATCATTAACAGAAATAAGGCAGTGAGGTCAAATCAAATCAAAACATTTATTAAGGGCTTATTAGGGGCCAAGCTGTTAAATACAGATTTAGAAGGAGAGATAAGGAATTTGGTTTTAGAATGTTCAATTTGAGGTACCACTGAGACGTAGGAACTAGGAACAAGAATATCACCTTGGATTCTATTTAATTCTATCTTTTCATTTTACAGATGAGAAAACTAAGGCCCCAAAATGTGATATCTGGCAGATCTAGAGCTTAAGAGAAAAAGATCACTAAATCCCTGTGTGTTCTTTGAGTCCTTAGGAACATCTGCCTACTTGGGTCCTTTTCAAATAGCTTTTATAAGGCCAATCCCATAACAACAGTCATCTCCAAAAACCCCTTCATAAACCCAAGAGAAGAATAAGGGGCTGTCTGCTCAGCTCACTGCTGAGTGTTTAGGGGAATATAGTGGATTTTCTTGCTTATATAAAAATCTTTAGATGACAGATTGAAGGATTGGAGAAACTCAAAAGCCTTGAACACTCCCGTATGTACAATTGGCTCCTGGGACTCATCTGTGGAGCATTTTAAACCTGAAATTGCTTTTGGACAGCAATAATGTCTTCAGTCTATGCAAATGATACACTGTTATCATTTGATCATTCAAGCATATACCGTCAGCTGACTCAACTTTAACATCAGAGCCAGGGAGTGTTTTATGCCTTGAGCTTTGGGATTTGTCTTTTCCTCTGCCTCCCTGAGACTAATCAGTATAGAAACCAAGGAAGATGAACAGTGAAGACATGGGCACATCTGTTGAAAAGAAATGTTATTGCTCCAAGACCTGATAGTCTCAAGTGATGTGGACAGATGTATGGGGACAAACAGACAAATTGGTTAAATCAATCAACATCTTCACAAAACACATCTATTAGTGAAAGAGATCATGAACAGAGAAGAGTAGAATTTTATCCTTATTTAGCCTTTATCTCTAGGCATAGAACACTCTCTGGCTTCAATGTTAAAGTTTAAGCAGTTGGCAGTATATGCTTGCATAATTATAACACTTAATCTCTACCTCCAGGAAGTTTTCTCTGTCTGATTCCCCTCCTCCCTCCAGAGGTTAGTGATAACAGCTTACATTGACATAATGCTTTGAGTTTTGCAAAACACGCATACACACATAATACATATATTACTTGTATATGTGCACATATGTATATATACACATATATATGTGTGTGTACACACACACACACAGGTTTGTCCATCACAATAATCCCGTTAGGTAGGTACTATACATAACACCTTGCTTTATACTTGTATGATGTATTTGTCATGCAATATCGTGTATTGGTTATCTGTATTCTCTCTTCTCCTCCTAAACTGTAAATTCCAACACCCAACAGTCTTCTACACAGAAAAGAAACTAAATAAATATTTTTATGAATGAATGAACTGACCAATCCATTGCCCCATCACCAGGAGTATAAAACTTGCATGCATAAAAGGCTACATGGTATTAAAAAAATCTATAGAAATCTCACAGAAACCAGAGGGCTCTTATAGATCACTTAGTCCAATCCTCCCTTTTACAGAGAGTAAACTGAAGCTCAGAGAGGAAAAATAAGTTCCCCAAGGTCACATAGCTAATATGGCAGAGTCTTAGGATGGTCCTGGGGACTGTATTCAAATCCTATCCAGCTTTCTAGAATATATTGGATCTTGTGTTATACTGGAATGACCCTCAAGAACCCAGGGTCACCTTCACATCATGATATGTCATTAGAAGAGAATTTTGGGGGAAGGTGATGATAGTGGTGATGATGATGATGTGAGTAGTATGTTGATGATGAAGGAGGTTTATTGTAATGATAATTATAATGATGTTGATGGTGGTAATGGTGTTGTTGGTGAAGATGGTGGTTATGAGGATAATAGTGGTGGTGGTGCTATTGCTTGTAATAATGATAGCATAGATGGTATTAATGATAATGTTGATGTGGCTGCTTTCAACTTATCACTGTTCTTGCTTGGATCACTCCTATAATAACATATCTCCTAAATATCCGCACAGGAACTGCAGACTCAGTAGCAGCACCTTCTCAATGGCATCTGTAGATATTCTGTATATTGACATAACAAGAAGGTGGAACTCCATGGGCCTTGAACAGAAGGAATCAGGTAACCCATTTTTTAAAATTCTCTTTCATAAACTGGAATACTAAATAAGGGAGCTCTCTTCTTTCTAGGGATGCTTGCTTTTGCGGGGAAAACCTCAACCAAAAATAAAGGGAGAAAATAGTCTCTAAGGGGAATTTTGTCATTTTTGTTTCTAAGGGATAGTAAACAGGGTGAAGATTAGCTTTCATGATGCAAAAAGTGACCCTCAAGAAGTAAAGACCCTGCTGGATTCTTTGTATCCGTTACATTTCCATTAGCAGAACAGACCCTATATATAGGCAAGAGTTAGTGACCCCCTTTGTGCTATAAATTCAGGGGCACTTAGGAGTTTTTTAGTACTAGTCTTAGTACTAAGGCTAAAGAAATCTATTTTTAACAATCTCAGACCATGTCTAAACATCTCTACATAAGTTGCATAAAAGCCAGGAAATGCCTTATTGAAAATTTCCTTTACAGGTCTAATCTTTACTTCTGAGCAGAAAAGATCATCCACAATATTTCAGAGTGAAAACAGTGGAACAGTCATCATGACCATAGCCAACAAAAACAGTTTCAGAAACATTCTCCCTTGTCTCTTCCACCAAGAGGGATATCTCTTGGTGGGAACACAGCAAATACCTTCACATCACGGTGTGGCTATTAACACACCCACCCCACAAAATTCTTTCTTCCTGGGAAATCCTAGTGTTTGTCTCATATTAATGTCTGCCCTTCATGGTTGTTGTCTCCTGCCAGCTATCACTACTAGCATTACTCCGCTCGGTGACAGGAGAGTTGGTAGCTTCGGTTTTTTAACAATGAGCACAGTTGAAAATTCAGTTGCTAACCCTGCTCATTGGCCCTAGAGTAAGAGTGATTACCCAATTCATCTCCCTCCTCTTATTTTTGCTTTTGAAACAACAGCCAGATTCACTGAATAATGCAATTCATTGGCTCAACAAGGTGAGGGCCTCTATCACAAGGCTGCAGTTGGCAGCTAGCTTACAATCTTTGCATTGGCAGCAGGGAGAGAGACTTGAGATCCAGCTCCTTCAGGGTAAGTATCCTGATTAATTATCATTTGAGGACTTAGAGCTCTTGTGTCACATTCACACACTGGAATTTCTGCTGATGCCTTCATAAAAGCCAAGCAAGTGTTTGGCTTCAGAGCTGAATACAGACGGTTGCTGGATTCTGCAATGGGGAAAGGCCAGGATGAGGGGGAGGGGGACAGAGTGGAATTATTAAATATTGAAATTGATCAGGAGCTGCAGTAGGAAGCTATTTATCATGTTTATTGCTTCCCACCAACATTACCATCTGGCCCATTGTTCATTCAGGATTAACTTTTCAAGTTCTGGTTGCATCTTAAATTGCTCTGTAGTAGGAGCCCTAGCTTAGTGCTATCCAGGATATGTTTTCCTGGGGTGAGTTTTTTTGCAGGGTCTGCTAGTGTATTTTCACTTTCGCTGACCCAGATGAGGAAATGAAGAAAGTACTTATTTTTGGCACATTCTGACAAGCAGAATCATGGGCTGTAAATAAGGTAGTTCAACATTCCTGTGAGGTACAGAGTAGAAGTACTATGATCATCCCCGTTCTGCAAATAAGGAAACTTAGGACAAGAGAGGTAAAGTAATTTGTTGACAGTCACACAAACAGTAAATATTACAACCAAGATTCTCACCCAGGTTGTCTGACTCCAAACTACAGTATGCCACCACATCCTACTACCATACTTTTCCAAGACCATTCATTCATTCAGCAGACATTGATTCAGCACTTAATATATTCAATATACTTGCAAATATCAACAATACTCAGTCCCTATCCTGTAAAAATTGTTATCTAGTAAGATTGATAAAACATGTAGACAGAAAAATATCATAAATAAAAATTTGATTCTAATTTTATTCTAGAATAGTGACTAGAATTTGGAGTATATAAAACAAATATAAAATGCTATGAGATCATATGAGGGAAAAATTAAATAAGACATCATAGAAGGGGTAGCATTTGGGCTGGGCCTTGAAAGATGAGTAGGCTGTCAGTAAACAGAGCTTAGCGCTGAACATTTGAATTCAGCAAGCCTTACTTTACTGAGAAGACTAATAATAAAGCCCTGAGACCTTCATGAAAAGACATCACTTGGGAGCCAGCCAAGTTATTATCTCCAGTTTAGATGACTAAAGGGAATATTTGTTTCTGAATGGGTATCTGCAGCATAGCTGATAACTACAGTCTGTAAGTGTCAGATGAGACCAAAAAGTGTGAAGAACTCTCTTAGGCCAAAGTCAGGGAACCTTGCTTGGCTACTACTGACTTTGTGGCCAGCACACTAATACAAACTTCAACCATTTTGCTTTTGTGGTTATGGAATGAAGAGAGAAAGCATTTGACTGCTCTGAAATGGAAGACAAAGGAGTTACTGGTAGTAGTGGGAATCTGGTTTTCAGGGTCCCTGAGCAGAGTGATGTTGAAGCTTAGGAATAGAATACTGCTACAGGTAGAAAAGAACATAGTATTAAGGGCCTACTATGTGCCATGCACTGTGCTAAGTGTTGAGGATATTGCAAAGAAAAAAAAAGGCAAAACATAGTCCTTGCCCTCAAGTAGTCCAGTCGTAGAGTATAGAGTTAGGTCACAGAATGTTGGAACTCAGAGGGTTCTTGGAACATAGAATCATAGAATATCAGAGCTTTAACCTTTAGTCTAACAAACCCCTTTATTTTATAGATAAGAATGCTGACCCTAAGAAAAGAGAAGTGTAATAAGTAGAGTTAGTGGCCAAGCTAGAACTAGATCCTAACTCTGCTGACCCCAAGTCCAAAGGTCATAGGATCATAGATTTAATTCTAGAAAGGACTTCGAGGCCATCAAGACCAATGCCCTGATTTTACAGATAGGAAACTGAGCCCCAGAAAAGTTAAATGATTCACCCAGAGTTACATAACCAGTAAGTGTCTGTGACAGGATATAAACTTGAGTCTTCCTGACTCCAAGCCCAGTACTTTATTATTCACTGTCTTTTCCGTCTGGCTCACTATTTGTCACTGGGATGGCTGCCCTTTATTAAGGTCGACGGAAAGCCATAGTCTCATCTTCAGACTCTCAGGGGTCAGATCATAGTACTAACAATCTCGTGTTTATAAGAAATCTGATGGTTTTCAAAGTACTTTCATGTCCATTATTTAATTTAAGTCTTATCACAATCTTTGTGGGGAATGGTAAGCTGGGCAAATATTACCTCCGTTTGACAGATGATGAAATTGAGTCTTAGGGAAGTAATTTTGTTGTTCGGTCATTTTTTTTTAGCTGCATCCAGCTCTTTGTGACCCCATTTGGGGTTTTCTTGGCAAAGATTCTGTAGTAGTTTGCCATTTCCTTCTCCAGCTCATTTTACAGATGAGGAAACTGAGGCAAACAGGGTTAAGAGACCTGCCCAGGGTCACACAGCTATTAAGTGTCAGAGGCCAGATTCAAACTCAGGAAGATGAATCTTCTTGACTCCAGGCCCAGCACACTATCCCCTGCGCCTCCTAGAGGACCTAGAGGGGTAAACTGACTTGCTTAACATGACAGGGCTAAGCAATGGCAACACCAGGATGGGAACCCAGATCTCCTGACAACTGTTCATTCAGTGATTTCTTCAAATGATAACAAATGCATCTGAACAGAGGAAGATAACAATGGATGAGTAGGAAGGATTTTCCCTTATGACCATCTGCTTTAAGAAATGGTTTCAAGGATATTTTGTAGAGGAAATTGTTTATAATAGAAATTTTCATATCTAAAGCATTCTATTTTCTTACCCTTAATTTTTCAATATATTTGGTAATCAACGATGTCCAACAATTTAATTGACTGCCTCATGAGAATGAGCTTCCCTTTCATTGAAGATTTTCAAGTGAAGGCTGGATTATCACTTCTCAGGGATATTGTAAAGTACATTCATGCTTCAGGGAAGAGTTGGTCCTCTGTAGATGGCCTCTGAAGATGCTTCCAACAGTTTAGATTCTAGTATTTCTAAAGTATATTTCAGTCCTGACCATATATATTCTAAGTTTCCTTCCAGCTCTGTTTGTGTTCTAATATTCTGTGTTCTAGCTCTCATGCCCTATGTGCTAACATTTATGGTCTAAGAATTCTTTCAGCTCTAACATTCTATATTCTAAGTTCTTTTCCAGCTCTAAGATTCTACAATTCTATGATCCTAAGCATCATATCAAAACTACTCTATGTTTGCCTATCTTCCAACACTTCACATAGTTTTGAAGTGCTAATGATGCTCTTATCTCCGTATCTTACCACGGCTGGAAATGTGTGGTTACTCACGGCCTTTTTGACCTGTTCTATTTTCAACCTGGGCCAGTTTGACCCTCTTTAGGCAACCTAGTGGCCCCCTGCTCTTGGAATTCATTATACTGGTATCAGACTTTGTGTGGACACTCAGTGAGCTTAGCATACTGTAGCTCAGAACTCTTGAGCTCAAGCAATCCACCAGCCTCAGCCTTCCCAGTAGCAGGGATTACAGACATGTGTCATCACACCTAGCATGCATGTTCTCTTTTTAATAGCAACCCGGAACTTCAGTCAACCCTAAATATTGATATCTGGGTATTAATATTGGTAACTGAGTAGGACCCTAATGTTTGATACTTGTTTGAATGAAATAAACTTGCCTGGGGAGACACAGATAATTGAATAACATCTAGGTTATGGAAAGGAGATATTTAAAAAGCAAGCACATACACAAAATGACACACTTGGAAAATATAATGCCATTTAACAATATCCTCACTTATTTTCTGTTAGAATACTAATAAGTACTTTGCATCCTGATGAAATTTAATAACATGTAATCCTATACACTCTGGTATGCCAATGTAATTGTAATTTTTTTTGTGTTTTAAAAATGGGTATGATGAGATTTTAATTTCCAGTCAAAATAAAAAATCCAGATGAGGATGTTATTAAATAAACCAGGGATTCAAAACCCTTGACTACACATCATCAAATAAACACATCTAATTATCAGTGCTGATGCAGTTCTTACATGAGCATCCCATAGAGTGGATACATTTCACCACGGAGATGCATCTCTTTGAGGAAAATCTCTGTTCTCTTGGTTCAGAAACTCTACCCACAGAGCAAACACCTAGAGTCAGTCAAAAGAGCTGTTTTGGAATCCTGAGTCCACCATTTAATAGCTGGGAAATATTGGACAACATCATCTTTCTGATATTCTATTTCTTTTATGAAATAGGGATGGTAAGAATTGTACTCCATTATGTACAAGGCTGTTGTGAGATATGTGTTGATAGAGTGCTAGCTTTGGAAGCAGAGGCCTTGGGTCAGCTCTGTTGCGTGATGCATGGGTGGCATTGAGCAAAGCATTTAACCTCTCTAGGCTTAAAATAAAATGGGGGAGGGGGAAATGGAGTGACAGGAAGGTGAATCTAATTGATGTCTTAAGATCCCTTCTAGCTCTGACTATGATCCTATAATATAAATACTTTTATAAAGCAATATACATGAGCCATTGTAAGCCATTACAATGTAAGCCATTGTTATTATAACTATTATCGTAATTAGACAATAATTAGGTTTTTAGGGATTTTCCAACTTCTGGACTTCTTAAGAGAATAATTAAGAGATATAGCATTCTGTTTACTGGGCACAATGCAAAAACATCATGCTCTGCACAGCAGACCACTATTTAACAGTTGAAGATTTTGATTGAAACTGCTTGATATTCTGAAGACAGCCTAAAGTACCCTTGTAGTAACCCATAGAGAAGTGTACTTCAGATGTGAGAAGTATAATAATAAAAATAACTTTTTCTTTAGTACTTTAATGTTTACAAATCACTTTCCCCACAGAAACCCTGTGAGATGAGTGGTAATATGCTCTATGGGTACACCCTCAACCCTCTAATCTTTGCTTTGAGTGACCAGGCGTGATGTTGTTGCTCATAAGTCTGTCTACTCTATAGCATTCCTTTCTGAGGCATTCTTGTCTGCATCACAAATCTTGACTCCTAAGACTGCCAAAGTTTGGGGAAAGAAATAAAGATGAAATATTGCCTAGGAAGAATTTAAGTTGTGTTCAGTAAAGGAATGTTGATGTTCTGAGCCCTTAAACTACAATTACAAAAAACTCCTCCCTCAAATCTGTATTATTTTGCAAAATAGACCCATGGGAAAGAGATGTCACTGAATTCACAGGTTTTTAGAATCAAGTAACATTAGAGCCAGAAAGGATCTTGTAACACAGACTGTTAGATCATATAATATAGAACAATATTCAGAGCTGGAGGGGACTTTGGAATATGGAATGTTGGACTGTAGAATCTAAGATATTAGACATTGAAGGGGCCATCTAGAAAGGGTTCTTAACCTATTCTTATCTATTTTATTTTATGCATTTAAAAACATTATTTGAAGAAGAGGTCCACAGTTTTCACTAGACTGCCAGAGGAATCTGTGACACAAAAAAAGATTAAAGATCCCTGATCTAGAACAACCCCTTTACTCTACACTGATTCTACATTAGAGAGTGATGTCAAAGTCTTTCTAAAGAGAGGTTGAATGAACAGAGAGATAACATGCAGAACAACAACAGAAAGTATGTTCTTCCTTTGATTTAGTGAACTTAGTTTCACCCATACAATTCATTAGTACAATTTAAAGAAACATTTTCCCCTAATTATCCAGATTATTAGTCCTACTTCCAAACTTTTTGCTAATTCAATAAGCACATATTATTGGATAGTGGCTTTCCATCTACTTCTTATATCACTGATGTCATAGCCAGTTGACTATTGTGTTATAATTTGAATCTACATTAACTACAAGCTATTTGATCAACAACTGGGTTCTGTTTTTGTTTCCCTTTCTGATTTACTACATATGCTTAGGCAAACTACCCAACTTTTATGTGTTTTCTTCATCTGGCATGAAACCATGTTGAAATGTATTTGGCAAACAATGTATTGAATGAAGTGTTCAAAAACATTTCAATTTTAAGTTTTTAGTTGAGTCACATATACTTGTGTATGTGTGTGTGTTTGTGTGTGTGTGTGTGTGTGTGTGTGTGTGTGTGTGTGTGTGTACCATCTCCTTTAAAATACATAACTGCAGTCGACTTCCAGGAGTAGAGCCAAAATAGCAGAGTAGAGAAGCACTCACCGAGTTCTTCCAATATTCCCCTCTATACAACTTTAAAATAATGACTCAAATTGAATTCTGAAGTGGCAGAGCTAACAGGTCAGAAACATTCTTCTAGTTCAAGACAACGTAAGAGGTCAGAAAGAGAGATCTATGACACAGGGGAGGAGGCTGGCCTGGAGCCCACGTGGGTCAAACACCAGTGGTGAGACTAAATGGTGGTGGCGGAAGCAGCAGCAGCTTCAGGAACTCTCAAGCCAGAGGTGATAAGGGGGCCTGGCAAGTGGTCAGAAAGAGATTACAGGTTACCTCTGTGCTAGCACTGGATTCAAGACCAGACACTGTTTGGTGATTCCATTGCCAATATCTACTTCTGGGGCATAGTTCAAGGGTAGAGAGGAGCACTTTCAGTTAAGAGGTAGTGGAAGCCCTGAGGGGCAGTATCACTTCTGGCTCCAAGGGATCAGGGACTCTGAGGGGGCACCATCATTTCCAGTACCAAGGGAAGAGGTGCCCTAAGGAGCAGTATCAGTCACAATCACACAGGATCAGAGATCCTTCCTGGGTAAGGACCAGAATGCAGACTGAGAAAGCAATAACCACACTTCTCCATGGAACACACCAACACAGAAGCACTGAAAACTTCCAAGCCCCCAGAACTAGCTCTAAAAACAGAAGTGAGAAAAAGCCTGAAGTGTGAGACACAGCCCCTCCCCACCCCATGCTGGGAACGGAGCCCAAGAATCAAGAAATAGGGTGGGAAAATGAGCAAACAACAAAAAAAGAATCTAACCATGAAAAGCTACTTGTGGTGACAGGGAAGATCAAGACACAAACTTGGAAGAAGACAATAAAGTCAAAACAGTTACAAGCAAAGCCTAAAAGTGAAAAAAAAAATGTGGATTGGAAACAAGCCCTACAAGAATTCCTGGAAGAGCTAAAAAATAATTTCCAAAATCAGAGTAGAGGAAAAATTAGGTAAAGAAATTAAAACAAAGGAAGAAAATTATAGAAAGATAGTTAATACCTTGGTAAAAGAGACACAAATAAATACTGAAGAAAATAACACCTTAAAAAAAAAGAATTGGGGTAGCTAGGTGGTGCAATGGATGGAGCACCATCCCAGGAGTCAGGACCCGAGTTCAAATTTAGCCTCAGACACTTGACACTTACTAGGTGTGTGACCCTGGACAAGTCACTTAACCCCAATTGCAAACAGAAAGAATTAAGCAAGTGGAAAAAGTGGTGCAAAAATTCACTGATGAAAATAACTCCTTA